TTATACACACACACACACATATATATATACATATATATATATATACACACACACACACACACACACACACACGATCAGGCACAACATGACCACTGTACATCTGTATGCACTTCAATGCAACACTTCCGCCTTAACATTTGTATTTATGAAGCTCAAAATGTTTCAGTTTTTGGTCCTTTTGGTACAAACCAAAGGTTTGTACCAAAGGTTTGTACTGTAGGACATTTTGAAATTAATCCAATCTGGACCAGCTGAACTATTTCAGTACCTGCAGAGTCCATACACTCCTCCATTGTTGTTGCAGTAAACTTGCTTCCCAGAGTCATGTGGAAATCATCCAGGAAATCTACACTGTGAACCGGTGACTCAATCTGCACACCATCTGAAACAAGACAACACACCATCTCATGTTTTACAGACTAACTAGAGTTCCTGTATTGATTGCAGAGATTCACTGTGGAGCTTTAAAACTTGAGTAGCGTAGTGGATTAGCTACAGTATTTTGGAGCTGTGCTCTGGAGTGAGTGGGTCCCCATTTTGTGAATGTGAATGTGCATGAGCATGCGCATGTACGAGCATGCATGCAGATGACACAACAGAAATTCTTGCCAATGGTGTTATATTATTTCACTGTTTACCAGTGGCAGTTACATGTCAAAATATACTGCAGAGTGTCAGCATTGATGAGATGGGACAGGAAGAAAAAAGACTGCTAGTAAGTAAAATGGATGTAAACAAGGATGGATTTAAAATATTTCATTCTGCAAGGCAAATGATGTCTGTTAGCTCTCATATTATTTTTGTGAGAAGAACTTAAAGTATAACTTTTATTTCACGTGAAAACGGCACAAGGCACCTTTAGTGTTGTAATGTAAGTACATCAATGATGTTCTTAATTCATACATAGTGGTTACTTATGAGCTACAGTAGCTGTTGAGCTAATTACCCACACATTAGAAGTCTATTCACACACACATCACAATAGCTCTCAGAGATACAGTATCTGGCTTGGTAAGTGTAAGCTAGCTAGCCATATCACTTAAAGGAAAATAGGTCCACACAGTTTATTTGAGAGATGGATTTGTACCACTGACGTCTGCCTAGGCTGCCATTTTTGAGCCAACAGTTGCTCTCCACCGAATGCAAGACCTCAAAGCATGATGGGAAATGCCTGGCTCTTACCTGATGTAAGAGACCATTTGTTTAGATGTTGGATCGACAATATTAAATTTTCAGTGGATACAGGACTGACCATGGTGCTTGGCATGGAGAAGACTAAGCAGGTAGTTGCTGGTTTGCTGCAGCAACACATTGTTGTCTCCTTCATATGTGCAGTTTGGGTCATTGTCATTACGCAGATCGCCCAGCCGGTTCACTGAAAGAGAGAAAACCAAGACAGTTAGTTCTCTTTAGTGCGTGTGTGTTAAACTTGCTATATAGTGAGGACCAAAAAAGTATTTTTGTTACAGAGTGAGGACATTTTGGCTGGCCCTCGCTTTCTGAAACACCTTTATGAGGGTTAAGACTTGGTTTTAGGGTTCAGGTTAGAATTAGGTTTAGGTTGGGCTTAGGCATGTAGTTCTGATAGTTAAGGGTAGGGTAAGGGGCTAGGAAATGCATTATGTCAGTGAGTGTCTTCACAGAGATAAAAGTACAAGTGTGTGTGTTTTTGGATATCTATGTTTAAGACTCACTTGCCAGGTATCCATGTCCACCACAGGCCTCCCTGCACTCTTGGATTCCCCTCTGAGCAGTCCATGAGCCCAGTGCTTTACTGGAGCAGCCTATGGCATGGATCTCCCTGCTCAACTCTGCCTGTGAAACACAGACATATATAGTCCTAATTTGGATATTTTGTTGCTCTTCAGGGTCTGTGCTTCAGCACATTCAGTTTGAAAACATAATGTGTAATCTGCTACACTTAATGCAAAGTCTCAGCCTTTAGGTTTGATTCAAAAAAGAAAATTTCATAGAGGATATCACCCTTTTAACACAGTGCAAGGGCTTTTAAAATAACTGGCCACCTGGCTACTAAATGTGTCTTGGGCAGTTGTGTTGTTTCAACATTAGTTCAGACACAAAAGATCTCAGAGTGGACTGAATGTTGAGAGTTGCCATTTAGCTCGAGGTGGTTAGGTGAGGTAACTCGCAAGGGAGAAAAATAGCAATAAGCTCAAAAGAGCAATTAAACACAGTATCTCAGGCATTACAGACTATCTAGAGTTCCTGTATTCATTGCAGATATTCACTGTGGAGCTTTAGAAATTCTAATTAATTAATGCTGTTGCGGTTTGTCATACTGTCTAATTTCATATTCTGGCTCAAACATATCAGGTAGTATTTGAGGTATTGTCACTGTCAAAAGTACAGTGCCTTGCGAAAGTATTCGGCCCCCTTGAACTTTGCGACCTTTTGCCACATTTCAGGCTTCAAACATAAAGATATAAAACTGTAATTTTTTGTGAAGAATCAACAACAAGTGGGACACAATCATGAAGTGGAACGAAATTTATTGGATATTTCAAACTTTTTTAACAAATAAAAAACTGAAAAATTGGGCGTGCAAAATTATTCAAATCCACATAAGGGATGACGGCAACATTCATAGATCCTGGAATGCACAATGAGGGGCAATGTTCATTCCTATTACAGAGGCCCACTGAAATTTTTTTGAGGAAAAGCTGTGTTAGACTGCATATTGTTTATAGTAAAGTATTTTTATATACAAATATAAAAATGAAAATGTTTCTGGAGTGGGACTTTAATTAATTATAGAAGTTGTGCAGAAGCTGCCCATAGCTCTACACAGTGATCCATGTGTGTACTGTATGTGTTTCTATGCTGCTCCAAATGAGTCTGTTCTGGTTCAACTTGTCTTATTAAATGAGCTTAAAAATAAAGTGACACCTTAGTTATAAAACACTGAGCAGGCTGTAACACACAAGAGTGTGT